TTGAGTGCACAAACTGAATAGAAAAGCACCATTACTACCATCCATTCAACAGTGTCCCAGGTTAGAAGGGTGGTAGGTTTAAAGAAGGAGCTTCATGATTACACAGCACAAAGAGTGCTTACTTTTACTTTTCCAAAGCATCGTTTTCCCAAAGGTGTTTTGTTTTGTTTTGTTCTTTTTGTCACACTGCACAATGGTACAATTTTTCTTTTAATTCAGTGAAATATTGGTGTTGTCATAGATCTTAAAAAAAACAAAAAAACAGAACAGTTCAGTAACTTAAGTTTCATAGTTTGGTTAAGAAAGTTTTATGGTTGGTTAAAAAAAAAACAACAACAACAACAATGTAATAATTTTTTATTTATATAGCACCCCACAACTACAATTTAAAAAGAACATGGAAATGTTCCAATTTCCACTGTTCTGCATTTCAGGTGCTCTCCAACCGTGGACACAAAATTAAAGGCCCAACTTCTTCTCCATTGTTTCCTTTAATATGTTCTTCTTGATCTAGAAAAAACATTTAATTTCATATTAATTATGCATTATATAAGTATATAAATACATGCATGCTGGAAACAGATGGCATGTTGGTGTGAACGTTTCCTACCTTTCCAGAGACCGTGAGAGGGTAGCTGTCCACAAATAACACATAGTGTGGGATCTTGAAGTGAGAAATCTAAAGGCAAGAGGGGGCAAGCTACAGTAATGCTTCAATTTAAAGTGGTTACAGGTGCTAGCAGTCTTATGTTTTATCTCTTCCTACCTGGCCTTTGCAGAAAGCTCTTATCTCTTCTGCACTGGAACTCTGACCCTCCTTCAGCTTGATGCAAGCACAAACTTGCTCGCCCAGCCGCCAATCTTTCACTCCAACCACCTGAAAGCACGGGAAGGAAGAGTTGCAGTTTATACCAAACACTACAGCTGATTAATGTGTATTCTCAGAGGCTGCTTATTGCTTACAACAACCAAAATAGTATATTTAAGCTCTATACCCACACAGAGACACTACTTAGTACTGATATGCTGCCCCCGAGTGGTTTAATCTTACCTGCACTTCCTTTACTTTGGGATGCTTGTAGAGAAATTGCTCTATCTCAGCTGGATAGATGTTCTCTCCTCCTCGAATGATCATATCCTTTATGCGTCCGTCAATGGAGCAGTATCCCAGACTGTTCAGACTGGCTGTGTCACTGTACAGACAACAACTACACTTCCCACACTGCCCTCTACTCAACAGTTCTGTATCTAGGGACATATGTGAAACTCCACCTTACCCAGTCCTGTACCAGCGGTCTTGGGAGATCACCTCTCTGGTTTTCTCTGGCTCATCCCAGTACCCATGCATCACACAGCTGCCTCTGATCAGCAGCTCACCTGAGGCCCCAAGAGGGACAATCTCCCCAGTAGTGGGCTCCACCACTTTAGCCTAAGGTTAAGGCATGCAAAAATACCACGTGTCACTGTGTTAGACGGATGTGTAGATGAAGGTTTGTGTGGGAAAGAAATTATACCTCAGTGTGACCCAGGATGCATCCTACGGTGTTCATCTTCAGCTCATCGTTGTCCTCTGGAAACCCAAGAAATGTAACAGGACTATTTTCAGTTGTTCCATAGCCTAACTGGGGGGAAAAAATGATTTGCATATGTTGCTATGTGCTGGTACGTGCTTTTCCTGTAAGTTTTAGTGTTATCTGAAGAGGTATCATCTCACTGTTATCTCCTTCATATTCATGTCTGTTGTCAGTCTTCTCACAATCTC